ATATACTTTTATAACCACTGTAATACTGAGATTTAACTTGATTACGTGCATTTCTTTCCTTCAGTCTTAGCCTTTCAATCCACTTACTTTATATTCTCATTTGCAGGTACTTCGGGCAGTTGCACGGTAATCATGCCATCCAAGTTGGTCTTCCCAATGAAGGCAGGCTTGGTCCGGAGCACATCTGGTGCAGTCTTTGCTGTTACCCTGTGCTGTAGACCCCCAGCACTGTTCCCACGATTTGTCAGCACGAATGAATAGGACTTCTCAGGCTTCAGGTTGACAATCAGCTTCTGGGTAGCTCGACCATCCACTTCTTCCACCATTTTCCCATCATCATAAAGAATCTGGAGCAATACAACCGATCGAAGAGATGTGGTTATCAGAGAGACAATATGTACCTTCTAAACTAATGGGTACTTGCCTCCGAAGAAGGTATAGCAGGTCAATTCTAATTTGGGGCAATTCCTAAGCCCATAAAGTGTTCATACACTCTTGTGATTGCATCAATTTTTCTTTCAGTTCTTACTCTATAATGATACAACGTTCCTAAGTCCATCAAAACCACACAAAGAAATGTATAGTAAGTTTTCAATATTTGACCTGTCGGTGGCATGTTATCTCAAAGTAATGTGTGCAGAACATGTGCTCTAGGTTTTCAATGTATTATCAACATTGCTTTTCCTAAATATTTTCATTCCTGTTCCTAAATATGTTTTTATTTTCAAAAATGTTTTCCACTTTATTTCATAGTTTAATTTCTTGCCAACATCTCTCAGGATCTGTCAATAGCAAACTAGAGTTTAAAATATGCAAAGAATTCAGGCCAACAAACACTTTTAAAATCCCAGGATACAGCATTATAAATAAGTAGAAACCATGAAAATTTCATTTTCTGGTGGAAAAACAAAAGTATTCACTTAGAGGCAAAAAGTTCATCTTGGAAGTATTAGGTGACGTACAAGTAACGTCAACCCTAAGTTTCAGCTCCTGTGTCCTCTTCCCAGTGGAAGAGTTACATTAAAGAGCCCCAAACTCAATCATTATGTGAAAGCCACAAATGAGAAAAGCAAACACATGTGGCTGAATCAACATGGTCTGTATGCTTTGTAAGTAACTTACCCAGGTGAACTGCCTACCCCTCCTCTCACCCCCCACTTGTACCCATGACATCTTACAAATTAGAAAACAACTTACTTTGAAAGGCATAGCAGAATTATAATTTTCTGGAATCTCCCAAGACAGTAGCACTGAAGTCTTCATTACTGCTTTGACATGAAAATTTTTTGCAAACACTGCTGGAAAAGGAAAAACAGTGTATTTAAACTACTCCTAAAAACATATGACCTGTCCTTTTCCATCATGGACCACAAGGCTTAAGCTAGATGCCATCTACTTTGATCAGAGAAAGAAGTGTGATTTGCCTACCTGTTCAGACCACTCATTTTACTACCCCATTCTCATAAAGATCTCTCCTTTCTCTCCAGTTCAGGCAGCTATACTGTATTTTCCTTACCTGAGAACATTGGGGTACTGTCAGCCACACTTGCTTGGCAATCTATAACTGAAATCTAAGGCATCCAAAACATATTAAGTTTCACATACTTTACCTTTTTGCTTTTGCTGGACCTATTAATATGAATGGGCCGATCAGTTAATTACAGCTTCAAAACACTGATTTCCAAAGACTGACATTCCTTTAAAGGAGGAAGGCCATAAGCAGACAAATCCTACCTTGATCCACAGGCAGTGTCCTGAACTGGACACTGGGACTATATGGCCCGGGCCCTTTGCTCGTGTGAGCACGTACTTTTACATCATATGTGGTATCTGGTTTTAAGCCACTGAGTGTCATAGTGGTGTCAGCTGGAACAATAAGCTGCTCCATTGGAAGAAGAGGGATGTTGATATCCCTGTACAGAAGTGTATACTTGGTGATAATGCCATTTCTTTCTGCCAGGACAGGTGGCTGCCAAGATAACTGTACGGAGGTTGAAGTGGTGCCTTCTGAGTGGAGGCTTTGAGGGAATCCGGTTGGGACTTCTTCTGGAACAGAAATCTCTTTCACCATCTCCTCCCCAAAGCCCACTTTGTTTCTGGCTGAGAGCCTGAAGATATACGATGCTCCTTTGTGGATGTCTGTAGCTGTAAAGTGGTCTTCCTTTTCAGAGAACTCAAGAGTCGTGAGGGGTTCCATGTCCTTTCGTCCAAATTTTAGACGGTAGCCCTGAAGAGGTCCAAATGTGTCCACAGGAGGGTGCCACTGAATGAGAGCAGTATTCATCTGGGTGTGGTTAATCACAAGCCGGGGTTTTCCTGGAACTGGAGCACACAGAAGAGCGGTCAGGCTAACCTACAAGGCCACTCCCATTTCAATCCCTGCTAAATGGAACTAGTACTCTATAGGAATGCCCACTTCTTTATTTACAAAAAGCCTTTATTTATACTTTTTATCTATGTTGTGAATATTAAATGAGAAAAAGCATTGGATTTTTTTATATACCTTTGTGGAAATATCTTTCTCATACTCTGTAAGGAATGTTGAGAGACTAGAATTTGAAAATGGAAAGCAAATAGGATTAGTGAAACAATAATTTAGGGGAATTTTTTTTAACGTCTTTGCAAATCAAATCTTCACATATAAAGGTTCATGGCACAGAAAAATGAATCTGAGCAAAGATTAGCCAATTAGATACAGCTAATAAGGACAATTATAACATACCTAATTATTGGATGCATGCAATGTACCAGGCATTGTGCTGAGACCATTGCACGCAGTATCTCATTTGATTTACATTCTTCACTCCTGACTACANGAGTCCTACCCCATATTGTGTTGTGAATATTAAATGAGAAAATGCATGTAAAATTCTTAGCACAAGGTTTTATATTCTATTACAGCAAATCATAATTATTAATAATCAGAATATTAAGCTTTCTGTGGTCAGGGGCTAGTTTCCTATAGGTGCACAATTTGTTTCTTTTTAAATTAAGTAAGTTAGATATGTGAACATTTCTAGTCTAGTCATGCATTGGACTATTTTAATTTTTTTTTTAATGGAGAGTAATTACTCCTGGAATCCACAAAGAAAGCCATTGATAAACAACACAGAGCCAGGAGTTTATTTGGGCACAGTCCAAAGATGGGGAAGGAAGAAAAGTATCGCCAGCATCAAAACTAAGCCAAACTAACAGAAAGGGGCAGACAGATGGTAGTAAGGGAGGAAAGCATATGCTAATGAGAGACAGGCAATGAAAAATAGTATCATGGGGATGTAGATAAAAGTTAAAAAGAAAAAATTCTAAAGACGGAGAGACAATCCACAGAGTAGTAACCTCAGGAATAACCTGGTTAACAATTCATTATACAAGTCAGAAAGTTGGGACCTCAGGGGTGGCATGCTTTGCCCAAGAACACAGTCATTAAGATTTTTCTATCCCTAAACAATGAAGTAATAGCTTTGTTTGATATGCTGGGTAAGTTCACATTAAGTTCACATACTTTCGCTAACCCACAGTGAATGTAAAGAACAGTTACTGAAGTTCATAATGGCAATTATATATGTATATGCTGAAACCAGGCCAAAACAGCCCCAAAATACTGTACTCCTTGTTTCTCTTGAGAAATCTCATCCAGAGAGCTTAACGACCAAGAAACTCTCAGAACACAACCCACTCATAAATTGGAGAATGAATTATTCTATTTATTTTAAATATATTTAAAATTGTTTGCATTTTAGAAATCACTTTAAGGTAGATATTGGCAGACATCATTAATTTCCCTTTATGTGTATATAGCATTTACATGATTTGTCCATT